TCCCTCGCTCCTTCCTTCCTGCCTTCCAGGCTGCTTCTTTCATCGGGCCGCCACCCCGCCTCCCGGCCGGCGGGCGGAGAGCGTCGCCGGCGGAGGCTCATCCGTGAAGTGGCTTCGCCGCCTCCCCCTCCGACCCCCGCGCCGGGCCGCAGTCCTGCGCCTGGCGCGGGCATGGCCCCCACCCGCTCGGCCTCTCTCGGGTCGCAGCGATCTCTGTCCCCTCCTGGGCGTCTCTGCTGCCCCCTAGAGAGGGGGCCACTCGCAGTGGGGAGCTGGGATTTTTTTTTTTTTTTTTTTAACAGTATGTGCTTGGTTTCAGTTCCTTCTAAAGCCTGCACATTAACTTCTGAATTCTCTTTTCTAATAATCTCAAAAAATAATCGTTTTTAAAATCATAACATCATAAAATATTTTCATTCCAATTTTCAATGCGGCCGACTTCTTAAAATGTGGAAAAATCACATTGTATTCATTATGTATCCCCAGTTTAGAGCTAATGTAGAGATTTCTCGTTCTTTCATATGTGTGGTAATATACATTTCCAAAACACTCAAAAATAGGGTACAGATAATTTGATCATTTTAATTTTAGAGCACGTTCAAAAGTATATTCCTTTTCTCATTTTCGCAAAGTGGACTCATTCTCTCTTATTTTTACTGAATGAGAATTAAGAATTGGATAAGAGGTAAACACAAAATAAATGGGAAAGACACAACTTCTGAAGTTTTCTCAAGTGCTTACACGATGAATGAAAACTCTGGTTTCTCACTGTTTTTTAGTTTAATGATGTTCTCACTTTCTATGGGACCATTTTTTTTCTCCTATTTAGGTAAGATCAATATGACCGACTGCCATTAGTCCTATGCTGAATTTCTGGTTGCACCCTGATAGTTCTCTTGTTAATGAGTCTCTATGCTCAAAATTGAGACGTTAAATGATTAGGTTAAGTCTCCACTCCAAAAACCTTTTGCAAAATAGAACCATGTCTTCAAGAAGCAATGAAAAGGTCCTGGAACTTAAACTGAGACCTTCTAGAACCTTACCAGAAACTCCCTTACACAGATCCCATTTCCTTATGCTACATATCTGAGACATATAAAAGAGAATGAGAGGAACAAAGATGTGGAGAAAGCATGGAAGTTTTGTAGATTCTGCCAAGTAAACCAGCCTGGGAGCTCGGATTGAATCTGGAGCCCCACCAGGCCAGATTCTACTGGCATAATAAAGCAAAGCAACAAAGAACACACTTTCACTTATTGACAGAAAAACAGGAGAACTATCTTTTATGACATGACATGCTGAGCATGATTGCTTTCTGCTCAGGAGAGCCCTTTGCCCTTTCTCTGTAACATTTCTGTGATGTTTCTCTTTCTGTATGTTGATGAGCATTATTACTGTATACCAATATCTGATCCTCTCTGGATCCTGACACAGGAGAAGATAGCTCTTTCCTCCCCCACCCTTGAAGCTAGCCATGGTCATAAGACTTGTTTTGACGATGAAATGTTAACAGAAGTGACTTGGGTCATGTCATGAGTACAAGCATTTAATTGCCAGTAGCCAAGGCTCCTCCTGTCCATTCTTCTCTCCAGTGGTCATGGTGGAAACATGTCCATATGGAGGTGCCTTGTGACCAATCAACCTGGAATGCTGAACCAACACACTTTGGACACCTGTCCTGGAGAATCTCCCAGGCCCACAGCAGATTCCTTATGAGGAATAAAAAAACTTTTGTTTTGCTAAGACACTGAGATTGTGGGTTGTTCACTACTTTGTTACCAATCTATCCTGTCAAATGAATTGTTGAACTCTAGTATATAATATGTTTCTATAAATTGTTTTATAATCATTTATACATCTGACTGAGTACAGTACATACATGAACAAAATGGTATGCTATTAGTTTTTTACCACCATATATCACCTGCAGAACTTTACAGAATTGCATACATATAAAATTTCCCTGACTGGGCGTGATGGTTCACCTGTAATTCCAACACTTTGGGAGGCCAGTTCAAGACCAGCCTAGGCAACATAGAGAGACCTTCTCTCTACAAACATCAAAAAATTAGCTGGGTGCAGTGGCTCACACCTGTTGTCCCAGCTACTCAGGAAGCTGAGGTGGGAGGATCGCCTGAGCTCAGGAGGTCAAGGCTGCAGTGAGCCATGAGCCACTGCACTCCAACCTGGGTGACAGTGTGAGAGCCTAACTAAAAAAAAAAAAGAGTTCTCAATTATATATTTAATCACTTGAGTTTTGAAAAAGATAAGAGATAAGATACAACTAAAAAATATTTGGTAGGCATTACACAGAACATGCAAGTCTATGTTTTATGCAAGTCTCTGATGTTTATGAAGCAATAAATCAACCTCTGACCCCAGTCCTTTCACTCTCCACCCTACCCAAAATAATTTTTAAAATATGCTCACGAAAACCTTTCCAACAACTTGATGGAAGAGCAGTCTTCTAGGTATTTCTACTTATAATATCCAAAAAAAGGTGCACCTCTATTATCCTAATCTAAATTAATGGTGTCAAATAATAGTTAAAAGTTGTACAAAAATACAGTTAGATAAAAGGAATAAAATCAAATGTTAAGTAGCACAACAGGGCAACTATAGTTTATGATTTACTCTATATTTCAAAATAACACGAAGAATGTAATTGGAACATTCCTAACACAGAGAAATGATAAATGCTTGAGGTGATGAATGCCCTGGTTACTCTGATTTGATCACCATACATTGTATACTTGTATCAAAATATCACATGTACCTTATAAACTATTATGTATTCATAATTTTAAAATATTTTTTTTTAATGTATGATACAGTCACATCCTAGTTAAAATGTTTATACCACATGAGATGTAATATATATATGGGGTGAGCCAGGGTTATAGTATAAGATTGGGAACCGGGCGTGGTGGTTCACTCCTGTAATCCCAGCGGCTCTGAAGGCTGAGGTGGGAGGATTGATTGAACTCAGGAGTTCGAGACCAGTCTGGGCAACATAGCAAGACCCCATCTCTACAAAAATAAAAAACAAATTAGCTGGGTATGGTGGCGTGTGCTATAGTCCCAGCTACTCAGGAGGATGAGTTCAGAGAAATCATCTGAGCCCAGGAGTTCAGGTTGCCATGTGCTAAGATCTTACAACTGCACTCCAGCCTTGACAAAGCAAGACCCATCTCTAAAAATAATAAAAATTAAAATTTCTGAAAGACTTGTTGTAATCTCGTTTTCCTGCTCCCAAGCACAAGTGTGCTCCCTTGTGCACACACACTCTCCCCTTCTCCCTCTCTCTCTCCTCTCTTTTCCCTCTCTTCCTTCTCTTTCTTCTCTCTCTCCTCTCTCTTTGCCCTCTGTCTTCTCCCTTTCTTTTTCTCTCTCTTCCTTCTCTCTCTCTCTCTTCCTCTCTTCCATTCTGTGCCCTTCCTTCCACGCACAACTTTTCTTTTCTCCTTAGAAATCTCAAAATCAAGACACATTTCCTAAGCACAAAGCTGGAATCTTTCTAGTTACATTTTCCGCTCCCACTACCCTCTCACATCCAGACAATTTCTCTGTTCCCAAGCATATTACAGTACATGCATACGTCATTATGAGGCCTTACCAGTGTCTTCCTCTCCCTGACTCCCTCCTACTCCCACTGCCCCACGAGCTGCATTTCTCTGTCCTTCACTACTTGAACATTCATTCATTCTTCAAGACCCAACTCAAGAGTCACCTCTTCTGCGGAGTTATTTCTTACTTTCAATGCCTCTCTTCTTTGCCCTCTTTTCTGTGCATTCCGCTATGATGACTCTTCTCACTTTCCTTATGCCTTTGGGGTGACTTGTTTGTGTTTCTACCAGAGGAAGAGCACATTGAGAGAAAGGTTTATTGTTCCCCCACACCTGCATCACAGTTCCTTTAAAAGGATTTGTAGCCAGGCTCGGTGGCTCAGCCTGTAATCCCGCGCCTTTGGGAGGCTGAGGTGAGAGGATTGCTTGAGCCCGCGGGTTCAAGACCCGCCTGGGCAGCGAGACCTCATCTCTACAA